ATCCCAGGTCTGAAATCAACCATTTCTCCAGGAGCCTTGATTACTTTTATTGGGAAAATTGTATTTAGAAACCAATACCTGGCCAAATGTATTCATTGCCACTTTGTCATTATACCTTTGTCATTGCTTCTAGGTTCTCTCAGCAGACAGATTAGGAAATATATACACACACTATCTCTATACATTTTTATTTCTATATGTCTGTATATATATTAAAAATCATTAGATCATACTGACACCTATCTAGTATGACAGGGTTCATTCTAAACTGCCTACTTTCTATATTTGTAACTATCTCCAACAATGAGAATCGTGACTGTCATTGTCTGTATTTACTTATTTGCTAGTTCCTGGTACATATATATTAAATAGTTTCAGAATTAATAATCATGGTCTAGAGTACATACATTTGTATATAGTTCTTTTTGTCTAGAGTTTTATAGTACAGGCATACCTCATTTGATTACACTTTGTTTGATTGTGCTTCCAAGGGTTTTTGTTTTTTGTTTTTGTTTTCAAATTGAAGGTTTATGGCCACACTGCTTCAAGCAAGTCTATTAGCACCATTTTTCAAACAGCATGTGCTCACGTCATGTCTCTGTCACCTTTTGGTAATTTCTGCAGCATTTCACACTTTTTCATTATTATTATATCTGTATGAAGATCTGTGATAAGCGATCTTTGATTTACTATCGTAATTGTTTTGAGAGAGGCCCCATGAACTGCGCCCATAGAAGACTCAGAAATTAATCAGTAAATGTTGTGTGTTTTGATGCTCCACTAACCAGCTGTTAGCCTATCTCTTTCCTTTTCCTCAAGCCTCCTATTACCTGAGATACAACATTACTGAAATTAGGCTCATCAATAACCCTAATGGCCTCTAAGTATTCAAGTGAAAGGAAGAGTCACATGTCTTTCACTTTAAATCAAAAGCTAGAAATGATTGAGCTTAGTGAGAATAGCATGTCAAAAGGAGGGACAGACTGAAAGCTAGGCCTCTTGCTCCAAACAGGTGGCCAAGTTATGGATGCAAAGGAAAAGACCTAGAAGGGCATTTAAAGCTCTGCTCCAGTGAACACATGAATAAGAAAGCCAACCAGCCTCATTGCTGATACAGAGAAAGTTTGAGTGCTCTGGATAGAAGATCAAACCAGCTACAAAGTTCCCTTAAACCAAAGCCTAATCCAGAACCAAGTCCCTAACTTTCTTCAATTCTGTGAAGACTGACAGAAATTAGGAAGCTTCAGAAGAGAAGTTGGAAGCTAGCAGAGGTTGGTTCATGAGGCTTAAGGAAAGAAGCTATCTCTATGACATGAAAGTGCAAGGAGCTGGCACCAGTTATTCAGAAGATCTAGCAAGATAATTGATGAAAATGGCTACAATAAACAACAGGTTTTCAATGTAGATGAAACAGCCTTCTGTCGGAAGAAGATGACATGGAGAACTTTTGCAGCTAAAGAGGAGAAGTCAATGCCTGGCTTCAAAGCTTCAAAGTACAGACAGACTCTCATGTTAGGGACTAATGCAGCTGATGACTTTAAGTTGAAGCCAATGCCCATTTACCATTTTGAACATCCTAGGAACCTTAAGAACCATGCTAAATCTACTCTACCTGTGCACTACATATGGAGCAAAAAGCCTGGATGACAGCGTATCTCTTTATAACATGTTTTACTAATGGATCTGTACAAAGCAAACTGCAAAACTTCTGGAAAGGATTCACCATTCTAGATGCCATAAACAACATTTCTTGGCTGGGCACAGTGTCTCATGCTTGTATCCTCAGCAACTTGGGAGTCCAAAGGGGAAAGATCACTTGAAGCCGGGAGTTCAAGACCAGCACAGGCAACGTAATGAGACCACATCTCTATCAAAAAAAAGAAAAAAAGAAAAAGAAAAAATTGCTGGGCTTGGAGACATGCACCTGTAGTCCTAGCTACTCAGTAGGCTGAGGCGGGAGGATGCTTGAGCCCAGGAGTTGGAGATTACAGTATGTTTGTGCCACTGCACTCCAGCCTAGGCAACAGAGTAATACCATGTCTCTAAAACAACAACAAAAAACTCATGATTTGTGAGAGGAGGTCAAAATTTCGACATTAACAGGACTTTGGGAGAAGTTGATTTTTAACCCTTACAGATGACTTGAGGGTTTGAGGGGTTCAGGACTTCAGTGGAGGAAGTAACTGTAGATGTGGGGAAAATACGAAGATAACTACAATTAGAAGTGGAGCCTGATGATCATGAATGAATTGCTGCAATCTCATGATAAAATATGAACAAATGAAGAGTTGCTTCTTATAAATGAGCAGAGAAAGTGGTTTCTTGAGAAGGAATCTACTCATGGTGAAGATGCTGTGAACACTGTTGAAATGACAACAAAAGATTTACAATAGCTCATTGACTTATGTGATAAAGCAGGGTTTGAGATGACTGACTCCAATTTTAAAAGAAGCTCTACTTTCTATCAAACAGCATCTCATGCTACAGATACATCTTTTGTGAAAGGAAGAGTAAATTAAAGTGGCAAACCTCATTGTTGTCTTATGAAATTGCCACAGCCACTCCAACCTTCAGCAACCACCACCCTGATCAGTCAGCAGCCATTAACATCGAGGAAAGACCCTCCACCAGGAAAAAGATTATCATTCACAGAAGGCTCAGATGATTGTTAGCATTTTTAAAGCAGTATTTTTAAAATTAAGGTACATATAATTTTAGACATATTTCTTTGTGAATAATGCTCTTCACACTTAAAAGACTACAGTAGGATATAAATATAATTTCTGTATGCACTGGGAAAACACTTGTGTGACTTGCTTTATTGTAATATTTGCTTTATTGTGGTTGTCTGGAACCGAACTTACATTATCTCCAAAGTAAGCCTGTATATATATATAATTCAAATACTGGTTTCCATAGCTACTTAGGTTAGTGATTTTATTTCCTATCCCCTTGAGATGAGATTATTGCTATGGGTTCTTCCCACATCCTGGTTGATTTTAATTATTTAATTATTTTGGAATGCTAAAATACTGTCATAAAGACTTTAAATTAATTAAGAAAATTTACTCAGATAAATGTCATTCCCTCTTCATCCCTTTTACTCCATTCCCATTTCCCATTCTTGCCATCTGTTTTTTACCCACATTCTGTATATTATCAGTATCATTAGTTTCTAGCTTTTGATTCCTGTAATTCTTTTGGTACAAATGAGAAGACAACACACAACTTCTTATGTATTTCTTTCTTACATAGACCATTACATATTATTGGTACTCTTTTGTACTTTGCTTATGTGAACTTCACAATATATCCTGTACATTTTTCCATAACAATTTCTAGAGATTTTCATTATTTATTTTTACAGCTCCATAGTATTCTCCCATGTAGATACGCCATAGTTTATTCAACCACTCCTCTATTTATGGATATTCAGATTATCACCAATATTTTATAATTATAAACAATGCTGCAATAAATAATTGCATACATATGCATTTCAAATTGCTAGGGGAATATGTAGGACTAAAATTTTGATTTTCTGTTCCCAAGTCCAATTCTGTCTTAGATCAAATTATATAACTGAGAGCACATTGAAAACTAAAAAAAGTTGTATACACTGTAAATATAGCAAAATAATACTTTGTTATTTGCATTATTTTCTTTATCTAATTTGATTGTATCTTCTTTGGAAACAGGCAATTCAATGCAATAAACATTTGTCCTTAGCTACTAAACCAGATGGTTATTTTTGAAAACTTCTCCCGTCTTTTTAAATTCTAATAGTATCAATCACATATTCACTCACTAAGAATGTCTTTTTAAACTTTTTTTTATGTTTTGTAGAGAGAAGGTCTCAGCGTATTGTCCAGGCTGGTCTCAAACTCCTGGCCTCAAGTAATTCTCCCATATCGGCCTTTGAAAGTGCTGGGATTACAGGTGTGAGCCACCACACCTGGCCAAGAATGTTTGATATTTACTAGTTTTTACTTAACAATTGAATCTATTATTTCTACAGTTACTAGTCATAAAATACTCTGGTATTATCAATTATTTTATTTATTTTATTTCTTTAGATAGAAGAGACAAATTATAAACTGCAGCCCTAATGTGGTTCCTTATATTCCCTATGTATGATGTCAAATAGGGTAGGAGAAACAAAGCAAGATCATATGGTCCAGGAGCACTCTCAAGGTTGTCTGACAATGAGTTAGCAAGGCTTGGAAACTCTCCTTCCTCTTGGCAGGAAGAGTTACACCCAAACTCAGCCTCCTTTGGAATTGGAGGCTCAAGGGCCCTCAACGTACCCACCTCCTGCAGTACTCATATTCAAAATGTGCAAAGGCTTCTAGACAGTCTACCTGAGGTCTATCCTTGGTCCTGCCTCTAACCTGGGTTCAAGAAATCCCTCATGTGGCTTATCCTAGTTTATCAGGAGATTGCCTTGGGATCTGGAATCTTAAGGAACTTAAGAGTGTTTGCCTTGTCTTATTCTTCCTCATGGTCTATAAAATGTGTTTAATCTACCATGAGACTATGGCCAGATCTGACCAGGCCTCAAAAGGTCACTTGTTAGGAATCTCTGAAGTTTTAGAGAGATATTAGTCCTGGGTCCTGTAAGGTTAGCAGATTCAACTGAGCAAATTCATGCAGCAAAAGGAATTTCAGGTCTACCAAAAGGTAAATGGCTTCAAATATATGCCTTACTTATGTAATTAATTATGTCACTCATTACATATGATGTAGAGTCGAATTTGTCGGCAGTTTGATAGGGACCTTGCTGTCTGGGTTGGGAGTAAGGCAGAGTTTTGGAACTCGCATCAAAACCTCTTCCGCTATGGTCAGAGGAGTCAAGTAATGTGTCAAACTGCATCTTTGAATTCAAGTTTCTAACAATTATATTCTAGTTAACTTTTCGTAACTCAAGCAATCGTATGGAAAACAAAGTATGTCATAAACACATAAAAAGCTTCTAGGTGATATTGCTCTTATGCTCTTACCTCCTCGATCTCGGGCAGCTAAACTTTGACCCCTTCTTAATGTAATGTCCAACTGGTACATTCCGGGATCAGCCAAGGGGACTTCTGCATTACTGGTTCCAGCAGTGTTTATTTTCTGTAAAACACAAAGCATAAATACTATTAAATTTATTATCTCTGTTCTATTTTCTCCAAAGGGGGACCATATGTAGCTTAACCCAAATTATAAGAATTAGTCAACAAAATAAATAATCTGATTCCATACAGTCTCATAATCACCCAGTTCTCTGAAGGTTTTGAAATTTATGAAATTCTTTAGACTCAAAATAAAAACATGAGAGTTACAGAAATGTCCTGTTACAACTCAGATTGTGGATAACAAATGGAATATAAAAACATTTCCCATGGAAGTCTCCGTACAATTCAATTAAGAAATAGGAACATAGAAATACTGCCTGAAGTGAAAACATAACCGATGATGAATGGAGAATAAGAGTGTGCAAGAGCAGTAGACTTCCACCTAACTGGAAATTAAAATTAAAGTGATTGATTCAGGTGACTTTGTTGACTCATTTAACTGTGCAGAAAAACTCATACTTATGAATTAAGCACTTCTGATTCAGCCCCAACATAAAATATAATTATATAGAAATAAATTCACCTAGTATTTTGACAATATCTGCAAGAAATGTATTCTCAATGGGGCTAAATTTCTAGTGCTACTTTCTGTGGAATAAAAGCGCATAAGGTATTCCTACATCTAAAAATGTTTGTGAAGCTGTCTCTACAGAATTTCTTTTTAGCAACAGTGTACTCTTAATAATTTACTAGGCATCGAGTTACAAGAGGAATAACTATATTAAAACAACACAAATGAAACATACAGTAAATTCTTCAGATCATATTTTGTAGTCTCTGCCACTCTGTATACAATAGGAAAGCTTACTTTTCTTTGTGCATTTGGGATTATTTTAAATTCTTATAATTTTTTTTTTCTGGTTCAAAAGGAAACATCCTTTTGTCTTAAAATATGCATGGATGAGGTAAAATAATAGACAACAGTCCAGCTCTTTTAATTCCATAATTCACATAAAATGAAACAATAAAGCAGCATTTAAACAATCTTTATGGTATATAATTCATATACCCTACATTCACTCTTTAAAGCAGCACATTTTTTTTTTTTTTTGTTTTAAGACCAAGACAAATAGCTTTGCTGTTGAAGCAATTCTTATTTAAAACAAGAGGCAGCAGAGCTTTTATTAATATCCTGAACTCATTGTCTCTCCTCTGGTAACAATAAAAAGTAATTCACTTCAACTTCTCATGATATCCTTGCTTCTATAAATGATCCCTCAGTCACTCAGCCTAGAAATCGCTGAGCCATCTTTGACTTCTTCATGTGATTCCCACCCACATCCAAATAGTTGTCAGATCCCCCCCACTCCATTTCTGTATGACATCTCCCTATTATCTTTTCCTTTTAACTCCTATTACCACTCATTTGGATCAGGCCTTCACACACAAAGGAGTAAAAAGTAAAATGATTGTCTTGCTCATCGCTTACCCATCTGATTCTGGCCACCAGTGACAACAACTATATTTTTCACACTTTTGAAAGTCTTATGCAAACATATACACATACATATAGGTTTGGATTTTTTTTTTTTTGTGGTTGGGCTATCAGTTTTCACTTGTTTTAAACAAAGATAGTATTATATTTTGTCTATTATGAACAATTTCTAGAAAAACATCATGGGTACTTTTCTAGTCAATTCATATAGATCTTTCTCTTTAAGATGTTCTAGGTTTATTGAGGCATAATTGACAAAATTGTATGATTTTATGGTATACAACATGAAGATTCAATATACTTATGTTTTGGGCAATGAATACCACAGTCAAGTTAGTTAACACATCTCTCACCTCACCTGGTTAACCTTTTGTGTGTTTTGCGGTGAGGACATTTAAGTGAATTTCAAGTATACAATTCAGTACTGTTAACCATAGTCACCACGCTGTCCATTGGATCCCCTGAACTTATTCATCTTACAACTGAAAGTCTGTACCCTTTGGCTAATATCTCCTCTTTCCCTTCATATCCCACCCCTAGTAAACCACTTTTTTTTTGAGGCACAATATTTTTTCCCAGTGTAGGAATAGCATAATTTATTCCATTATTTTCCTATTGATGGACATTTGCGTTAGTTTCAGTGTTTGCCACACAGGACTGGTGCTTTCACTTCTCTTGAAAAAGTTTATAGAATAAATTTTTCCAAAGGGTTTTCCAAAAGGCTTAAATAATTCACACTTCTATCAAAAGTGTACTACTAGAGTGCCTATTTTCTACACCTTAGTCAGCATAGGATGTTACTAATTGTTCTAATTTTTTCAAGTGTAGGACGCAAAACTTGTTATCCTCCTTCAGCACATATTTCCAGAACTATGGGTGACGTGTCTTGAAACCAGTGTAAAAGACAAGAAAGTGACAGCTGCTCACTAGGCCATACAGAAGACATCAACTTGGAAAGAAAGGAAGCCAACGAAGATCCTCTAAAAAACTTTTCAAAGAACAGTATATATGTGGGTCTAATTAATAAGCAAGATTTAAATGCAGACCCAGCAAACTTTGTTGAATTCCAATTGCGTTTCAAGCTCTTCATTAAGTTCTTTTCCATAAATTGTTTCCAAATAAACAAATCTATTAATAAATATTAAGCTTATGTAGGTTTACTACTTTGTAAAAAATGGAATAAAATCTTCAGGAAAAGAGGAATTTTTAACATGCTCTGCATATTTCTCTACTGTTTTAATAGGTACCCTAAAGCCAGAAAAATTTGAAGGCTCAGACATCTGTATATTTTGCAGTCTTCATTGCTCTGTTCAGTGCTCCTTGAAATTTAGCATGTATAGAGTTTATAAGGTACCAGGTTTTATATTTTCAAATATGTAATAAACTTTATATGCAGGTTAAGGAATTTCCAAAGATAATTTTAACTGCACCAGATTTTTCACTTCTTCAGTTTTAGAATTTAACATTTAGTTAAGACACAACCTCTGGACTTTTTATATTTTCTGTATTCATTTCCTCTTCTACAAACTTATCATTTATTCTTTTTTGTCTTTTTATTTTCTTATTTATCCTTTGTTCTCTTTTCTACTGTGTTGTTTGTCTTTTTCAAAATGGCATATAGAACAGTTTCTCTACCAAATCTAATGCAAATATTTCCTCCCAGTATCATCTGTTTTCTTTGATCTTTGTAGATGGTATATGCCATCATATAGAAACCATTAAGCAGTTAAAGCTGTCCTGTTTTCCTTTTTAATGACTTCTGCATTTCTTATCTTGCCTAAGAAGATTCCATATCATGGTAATATGTATTGATTCTCATATATGTTAAAATTATTTTTATAATTTTAATTTTTATGTATCTTCAAATCATATGAAATATATTTTAAATGTCCTGCATGAAATAGGAACCTAGGTATTTTCTTAGTTGTTGCCTGAAATTGTAACACTGTCCATTAAAGAAGCCATTTTTCCCTTTATAATACATTAAATTCCTATACAGTGGGATCTGTTTCTGAAGTCCCCATGATCTGTTTACTTCTGTGTCAATATCATACCATGTGATTACAATGACTTTAAATTCTTTGTTAGAACAGGTAGCTCCCATCTTTCTTGTTTTTCAAAAGCTTCTTGATTATTATTGCATTTGTATTCTTCCTGATGAAGCCAAAAATAGCTTGCTGGTTTAGCTAAACCAGAACACCTCTTGGTTTGAATCCTGCCACTTACTAATTGTGTGGGCTTAGGAAATCACATAAACAATTTTTGCTTTCATTTTCTTACCTGCAAAGTGGGACTAAATTAGTACTGCTACCTCCTTGTGAGGTTGTGAGCATTAACACATATGAGATGTTGAAATATTGCCTGGCTGGTTTATTATTTACTACTGGGTGAAAAAACAAAAAATAAAAACAAATAGTGCCTGGCACATAGTAACCACTCAATAAATGTTAGCTATTATCAGTTTCCAAAAATAAAACAAAAGGTACAAAATTCTGATTTGAACTGCATTGTTTCTAAATGAACTTGGAAAGAGTTTATAATTTCATGATATCACGTATTTTCCTTTAAGGAAAACAAAACTTTCCATTTTTTCAGGTTCTGTTGTTGCCCTTTAATACAATCTTATTTTTCTTCTTTTATTTCTATCTAGCTTAATTTATTATTGGAAATTTTATGGGTTTCATTTCTATTGCAAAGGAGTAATTCTTTTCCATTTTCATTTTGATAAGGTTATTTCTAATATAATGGACAAATATTATTTTGTATAGTGACTTTACATTCTGTCACTTTTCAAGGTATATTTTGGGTTGTCTGCATATAGAAATCATACTGTCTGCATACGATGTCTTTTTGACTCTTGTTTTCTAATATTTCAATTGCTTAAGTCTTACTGTGTTATCTTCAAAAGACTGTTAAAAATGGTGAAAACAGTGAACATTTCTGAATTAGATTTGATTATAATGTGCATGGCTTTTAATATTTCATAGTTTAACATGTGTTTATCAAGCTTAGGCTTTTTCTTAATTTACTTGGGCTTAAAAAAAGCACTGCTGAATTTTATCAACAGATTTTCAGCATATGTTAATAAGATCATATAGAATTTCTGGTTGATAGATTTTCCTCACATTGAATCATCTTCATATTTCTGGAGTAGACTCTACTTAGCATTGTGAATTTGTTCACTCTGATGTACAATCCTGATTATGTTCAATACCATCTATTGTATGTCAGCATACGTGAGAATACCTGTACTTCTTAGTTAGGCATTTATAGCTCCCTTGATATATTAGGCTTGAGTTAGATTATGCAAAAGCAAGTGTGGTCTCTGCCATTACTTTTAATGCAATTACTTTTGCACCAACCTAACTCAAGCCTGTCATGACAAACTGAGCCTTTGCTTCTCTTCCACAAATTCTAGACCATTTTTCCTTAACAGAATAGAATTTACACTTTAAAAACTTGTATCTTTGTCCTTTACTTTCGCCCAGGGCTGCCTTCTTTTCTTGTTTCCCGTGTCTTCCTACCCAGCCTTCAAGAACCATTTCACTAGCACTTTATATACG